AAAGAGACTGAACAACTACAGGGTACAAATGACACACTCTGCAATGTGATCAATACAGATGAAATATTGGGAGTGAACATTCCTCTTGTGAATACACATACACAATATCTGCAAGCACCTTGTATGGCAGTAAAAGTACTGAAGCTGAGCAAAATGTTCTTTTTGCTTTCTTACACTTCAAGTGACATACTTTGATCCTAGTGTGGAATAAGACAGAATATAAGAACAGGTAAAGCTGTCAGAAAATAGAACTGTCCTTTTCCAGCTAACTATACTGCTATATATAAATCCATCAGAGGGGAACAATGAACAAAAGACAATTCTGTTTCCTTAAAGATCATCTTTTTCAACTCTGCAGTAGATGCTCTAAAATTACAGATCAAAAATAGAAAATTTATAGAAAGAGTCAGAAACTAATAGAAAAATAACAGCACAAGAAATATAACAAACAAGGAAAGATTATTTCTTCAAGAACAGAGAATCATCTGGCCTTCTGACTACTTACTGGGCAACAAATTTTAGATCAGATCCCGCTAACTGCTACAGTTTCAGCTCTTCCCCATACTTCCTGGCTCAAATTAACACAACAGATTGCTCTTGCTGATTCAAAACCATGCGGCAATAAATTCAGGAAAACAAAACGACTTTCATGTTAAATATGAAACACTTATAAAGCTCATAAGGCCAAAATCCTATGAAGGGATACATTGTGTCACCCATGATGACCTGGAGACCCCCTATTAACAGAGCTCAGTCTAAGGATCTGCTCAATTAACACTCTTGGTATAAAGTTGGCATCTACTCAACTGATGAGATCGTTATGGACAGATGCACCTATTGAAAGGATGAGAGTCACAGATGTATCTGCAACCCACTTTTCATTAAGAGTAAAATTCCAGGGTCTCAATAGCAAGGGTCAACACAGATGAACATTACTCATGTTCAAACTAGTGTAAACACACAGTTTACCTGCCAGCTTTATTTTAACAAAAAATAAATGGCAAATTAGTTTGGTTTGTGGGTTTGGATTTTTTAGGTTCCAAGGCATGTATATTGTGAGACACTTGAGCACTCTCCTGCTAATCATCTCTCCATTTCTCAGTCCACCCTGCTTGCATTCCCAGCGTAGCCCAACACTGTGCTCACGATTTCACTGCTGCACTAATTGACAGCTCTAAGAGCTCCTTCTCTCAAAGGCTCACATAGCAACCACAGCAGAGCAGGCAGAATATATTCAACATTTTACACCACCAGTGTAATGCCAAAGTTTAAGTTTAACATTAAAATCCCGAGGCTTACACTAAACAAGTCCAGGGGCAGACACCAGACCCTTTCTCTGGGCAACCACCCTTGACTGGAGCCCCAGCAAAAGGCCCAGGCAGACCACTGCAGGGAGGAGGATGATAAGATTTATCTGAGCTGTTCGTCACCACCATACAACACTAAAGTTGATTTCAGCATGTGCTGCAGTGATACAATTACACAGGGCAAGGAAGTGGATGTCTGGATTAGTTTTCCACAGCCTACAGTGACCTATCTGGCTCTAGTTTTAGAACACATTAAGTGTTCAGCTAACACTTGCCAACGCACCCCTGAATAATGTGTATTGAATCCTACAGAAAATAACTCAGTTAATACTGTAGATGGAGCTTATATGCAAAAGCATAAATACACAAATGTATTTGAGAACCATTAAGCTCTCCTTAAATGTAGTTGTCAATTAGGTACTATTCAGTAGGAATGTATTTATAGATGGGTTTCTTATAGATCACCCAAGGTCAAATACCATTACGTGCTATCATCCATGTGTACATGCAGTACACATAAAAATGTCACTTTGTTAAATTAGTGGATGACCCAGCTGGCAGAAAAGCAAATAGCAAGAATATGGTAGCTTTACAAAGTGATCTGCACCATCTGAATGTAATACACAAAACAGGTTTTCATAACCACTAATGCAATGTTACATGACCAAAAAGAGTAAGAGCTGTGACAACAAAGTTATTTATCTTAGCAGAGGCAACCTAACAACAGGCTTTCAACACAATACAATGAGAAAAGGAGCACTTGGTTGACATCTGAATGAGGCTGCAATAACCACTTCCCTTTGTAGATGCTTTGGTGGAACCTGTCATGAACAGAGTATACAGTTCCAGCATTCCCATTTTCATCTCTTTATCAGACCAAAACCAGAAGAACCCCACCAAGCACAGGCTGCACATCTGACCTATGCTAATGAGTAGAAAGTCCTCTATGATTTTTTTTTCCTTTTTTAAGCAGAAAAAGGATGGTGACAACCATACTGTACATTTCAATTTAGGGGGAGGGGGTATTTTGCTTTCAAAACTATGAGGACAAACTAAATGGTGAGTTCTCCATCTCTTTATGCCCCTGAATTGAGAATGCATGTCTATTTGAAAGATAGGCTTTAATCACACACGAACGATTATGCTCTACACAGGCATAAATAACAAGTTTTAATGCATATAATAGCAAAAATCACATCAGAAAATCTAATGGTCTCTCCTGAGCCCCAAAGGGGGGTGGAAGGAACATAATCCATCAATGTATTTGGCTTTACAGATTCTCCTGCTGAAGAAATGGATGTGGTCAGCCATCCTGTGGCCAGGGAGGTACACAAAGAAAGTCTCTTCATTTAGAGCCACTGAATGAAACAGCTCTTGATAGGCAGTGAAATTGGTATCTAGAGTAAGACAGCTTATTACCTCAGCTTTTCACGGCTTTCAAATTTACACCATGTGTTGTAGATTAAGAGTTACTTTTTCACTTTTTATGGCTTCCTAAAAATAAAGCATGCACACAAAATGCAGAATAGCAGCTGTTTATGACTTTTTACACTGTAAGGAAATGAATTCCATTTTGAATTCCATTCCTCATTTTTAGTTTTGGTTATGTTATTTTTGGAAGATGAAATAGTGGCATTCCAGCTAGTCTTTTTAAGATGTTTTCCCTAATTCTTAGTTTCTGTTGCTGTATTTCTACTTTAAACTAAAAATACATTTCCACTTATGATAATTTACACTGAAAGTAAGCTGTTTAGTGAACAGGTATATTTTTTAATATGAATATGATATTTTCACACTCAGACTGCTTAGCAGCATGCAAATGCAAAATTAAAGTCAAATAGCATAATCCAACAAAACTAAAGCCCCAAAGAAAAAGCTTTTACAAGAAATCCATTGCAAATTCCATAAATAAGAATGATAAATAGTAAATTATTTAATACACAGACAGAGTGCACAAGCTAGGATATTTGACTGATTAGTGTTAGATTTTACTTGCTGCTAATTTTTTAAACAATACTTACAGAGTGCAGAGCAAAGTGATGACCTTTAGCATTAAAAAATGCTTAAAAATGCATTTACAATCCAACTAACACTCTCCTATGGTTTGCTAATTTGCCCAATGTGTTACATGAAGTGGTCTACATTGTAAGCATACAAAACAAACAAACAAACAGAATCAAGTTCTAAGCAACCCAGTCTCAATTTTGCATTTAGAATTTCTCTTCAGAAACATAAACATATTTCAGTGTATTTAATCTATGTCCAAGGTACAAGAGGAGAGACAATACTAGAATCACACTGTTGAGTATAAAAGCAGAGTGTGAAAAAGTCTACTGGGGTTAAGTATTAACCTGATGCATTTTTCAGAACGACTGTACTATTTTTAACTTCTCTTTTTTGGCCACAGGTCAAAGTTTTCCTAGCAAAATACCAAAGTGAAAATGCTGGGAGCAAAGCCCAGAGGCAGCTCTCTTTGCTTTGGCCTAGGCAAAAACTTATCTGAACCCAGTCACATCTGGAGCACTATTTCCCACTCCCCTCCACTGACTATGGCTGTCATTATGCCTCTGAACATCTATAAGAGGAGTAACACAGCACTACAGCCTCGGGAAGAACATTTTTCAGATGTTATAGGAAATTCCTATATTCTCCACACAGCACAGGCATACATACTGTTCAGTCAGTTCCTGTATTTTTGGCCAAGCAGAACCGAGCTATTTGAAAGCAGGAGAGCAAAAAAAAAAAAGGACACAGTGTAAGTGCCTTTAGCAACTCTTGGAAGGACTGGGATTTATTCCCCCCTTTTCTGCTCCTCATAACTCGGACACATTGGAAATCTTGGGACACACTGGAAATATAAGATTTGAAGACTCTAAAGTTCAGTTAAAATAACAGCGACAATAGTAATGATAATAACAATGATAATGATAATAATAACAACAACAATAATAATCTCTTACTGCCATTTCAGAGTTTGGATGTTTTAAATGGGGAAATCTAACTCCCTTCCCACTTCTTCCCGAGGGCACACATTTCTTACTAAAGTAAATTATATTTCATACACTCACACAGAAAAATGCTATCTGAAACAGGAGACAAGACGAATCAATTTGCCCCAGTGGAAAATAAACGTGACCCCACAGGACCCCCCAGTTACATTTCTCCCTTAGGCGTATCCTTTTCCTGAATTATTTCCACATCACACAGCAACCTCATCTTTACCAGAGGACGTTTTGGAGGGGGTGAGCGATGGGTGCCCTCAGCGCACACAAAGGCAGGTACTTTGGGGACGGGCACGCCGTGATTACGAGGCGCGAAAGGGGACGGTGTGAACGATGCTGGGCGAGAAAACAAGGCGCTTTCCTCCCCCGGTCAGATCTTGCCGGGGACATTTCTCACTTCCCCCACAATAAGATGTACCTAACCGGGAAGCGCTCGCTCCCCTCTCAGGGCGCCGTGTCCGTCCCCTCAGCCAGCACAGCCCTGGGGGGCGAGGGCCGATCCCACCGCCTCGCCGCCGCCGGTGGCCGGGCCGGGGGCGTGGAGAAAATCTCTCGTCCTCCCCCAGGAAAGCTCTCTCAGGACGCGGGAGCTCTTTCCTTCCTTCCTGTTCCCTCCCGCCCGGCCGAGGCGAGGGCAACGCTCCCTTTGTTCCCCCGCCGAGCGCTGCCCCCGGGCGCGGCCGCCCCTCACCAGAAGGCTCTCCACGTTGACCGGGGAGCGCGGGTCGCGGATCATGGACTCCAGCTTCCTCTGGCGGCCCTCGAGCATCCCCGCCGCCGGCTCCGGCGCCTCGGCCGCCAGGGGAGCCGCCGACATCTTCCCCGCCGGCTGCTGGCTCATCCTCCGGCCCGCCTAGTGCCGGGCCCGCGGAGGGCACTGCGCGGGGCCGCCGGGCGGGCCTAGCGCGGCGGCGATCCCGGGGAAGGGCGGGGGCGGCGAGGCGGGAGCGGAGGGCAGCGCCGCCGGTGGCCGCCGCCCGGGCATGAAGGGCGCGGGGAAACGGCCGCTGCTCCGCCCGGGCGCGGGGAGATGGGAGGGGAGAACTGAGAGGGAGGGAGAGAGGGAGGGACGGAGCGCTTCCCGCCGTGCCCCCGCCTCTCCCCGCTCAGGGCGTCCCTCGGCGGCCGCCGGCTCAGTGCCCGCTCCGCCGGGACATCGCTGCGGGCGGAGGGAGGCGGGCGGGGAAGGGGGATCGGCCGCCGCGGAGTCGGGCTCAGAGCGCGACTCCCTCTGCAGCGCTCGCTGGCTGCCCGGGCGGGAGCCGCGATCCCCGCCGGCCTCGCCGCTCCGGCTCCGTCCCTCCCTCACCGCGATCCCCGCGGTCCGCCCGGCCCGGCCCGGCCCGGCGCGGCCGCCGCTCCCCAGCCCCGCGCAGGCGGCCTCCCCTACCCACAAGGCCCCGCTGCGAGCGGCGCATTGCTCGGCGCTCACTCACCGCCCCACGATAACCCTGAGCTCAGCGGGGCAGCGGCCGGGCCCGGGCGGGGCGGCCGCGCAGGGAGAGGGCTCTCTGTGTTCGGGCACAGGGAACTCACTCTGCCCGCGCACCGTGAAACACGCGGGGAAAAAGCAAAACCAAAAGCCTCCCGACATTAGAGAAAGTGTGCAAGCAGCGTTTCCGGTAGAGCAGCAGTGCTCAGGGCGTGAGTCATTAAATCATAGAATGGTTTGGGTGAAGGGACCCTAAAAATCGTCTAGTTCTAACCTCCCTGGACACCTTCCACTAGACCAGGTGCTCTGAGCCCCATCCAACCTGGTCTTGAACACTCTCAGGGATGGGGCATCCACAATTTCCCTGGGCAACCTGTTCCAGTCCCTCACTACCCTCACAGCAAAGAAGTTTTTCCTACTGTCTAATCTAAACCTACTCTCTTTCAATTTTTAAGCCATTCGCCCTTGTCCTGTCACTACATGCTCTTGTAAATAGTTTGCCCCATCTTTCCTTTAAGTTCCCTTCAGGTACTGAAGACAGCAATTAGGTCACTCTGATGCCTTCTCTTTTCCAAGCTGAACAATGCAAATTCTCTGAGCCTTTTCTTATAGGAGAGGTGCTCCATCCCTCTCCTATGTGTATATCCTATGTGTATGAGAGGGAGGATGGAGAGAGAACTAGATGGTGCTGGGGAAAGTGCAGACCACCACTGTGCACTCTGAGGAAGATGAACCTCCACGCTGTGCTAGAGGTGGGTAGAGCCACCTCACCACACACAGTGGGCACTGTGAGGGGTCAGGATGCTGTTTACCAGACCCAGGCAAGAGGGGCTGGAGCAGGGAGGGTGTCACTGATGCCCAAGTTGTGGCTGCAGGGGTGGCAGTGGTGAGTTGGATGGCAGAGATGTGGCTGCTGGGCAGATGTTACAGGGCAGAACAAGAGAGACCATGGAAGTGCCATTTGCTCAAGTGGAGGGACCTCAGGGAGGAAAGGTTATCATTTTACTGTGTTGACTTTCAGCTGATAGCTGGATGTCAGTGAGCTGATGTCAGAAAAATGGCCCAATATTTTAACTTCAAAGGAAGAGGAGAGGGAGTCAGAGAGAAGTAAATATGTGAGTCACTCACATGGCTTTGAGCGAGATCACTCTCAGTGATATTCTGAGTCAGGGCCCAGACTCAAGGGGAGGTCTGTTCTGAATATCAACCCAAACTCCATAACTGGATTCTGTTTTTACAGTATACTGAATCAAAATCCCCAAACCTGACAGAAATACACACACACATGAACATTTTGAAAAGTCAAATTGGGCACTATGACTCACACTTCTTTCAGTGAACCACATTGAGTTTGTGAGTTTCCTGAAGGAATTGGTGAAAATCTGTTTGAGAGAGGCACTGGTTATTTATATCTTAAGACTGCTTCATCTCCAAAACAGATTAGGATCTGCTTAAACTGCAACACTACAAAAAAAATCACATAGTTTCCTTGAGCAGTTTGCTTTGCTGTGAGATAAAAGAACTAGGTGCAACAACGAGTTGGGTTGCTACTGGGGTTAGCACATGGTACTGGTAGGATCATGAAGTTACACACCCAAGCACAAGTTAAAAGCTCTAAATTACCTAAAATAAACATGATTTCTTCATTTATAGCCAATTCATTGGCTAATTTCTTGTAAGTAGCACACCAGAAACGTTTCAGTTTTTTTTAAGAAGGGATTTAAAGTAGGCTTGGACAACAGAGCAAACTTGGGGAGCATGTTTCCAGTGATTGATAAGAAGCCTGTGCTAGGTTTTGCTAATGTCAACAGCAATTTTGGGGGTGATTTCAATGAGCTTGGAGTCAAGCACCAGGTCATAGAAGAGCTAAGCTCTCTTCTCAGTTTCCTCTTGGTATAGGCTAGGTGCTTCTCTTTTCCTCATTTTTTCTTATCTATGAAATAAGCTTTGTAAAAACTAATCTTTACCTAGCTTATATGATTTAGTGACATTGTTGAGGGTGCCATCTAAACAAAGGTAACAAAGAAATTCTTAAATAAGCATTACAGCCCTTTTTACATAGAAAAAAAAGGTGTGATTGTGACTTTAAAAGCAAGTGTGTAGAAACAGTACCTTCTTGAAATTCTTGCCCAATAGATCTGTTCCTCCAGCCTTCAGGACATATCTGTTTACTGACTAAACAAGTTTTAGTCTGTTACAGGGACAAATTGACAATGGCAGTCTGCTGAATTCCTTTGTGTGACACAAATCCTCGACAAAATCATCATCAGAAGCTTTATTGCTTTATATTAGTTATAAGTGACAAAAAGGGTACCGAGAAAGCCAGATCTCTCTCTCAGTATTTGCAAAAAACACTCTTTTAATGTGCCCTAAAGGAAAAATAACACCACCTTCTGTGGTCTTTTTGCAGTTCTACCTTTTCTGCCTTCAGGGGCGTGTATCTCTCACCTATCCCTAACAATGACCATCTAAGGAAGAACTGTTTCTACCCAGTCTGTGTATGCTAGTTTTGAAGTCTGATGCAGTGACTTGTCAAATGCTATTTACCATGTTTTTTAAGGCAAAGTCCAAGCCTTCCAGCATGCATGCTGCAGCTTTAAGCCTAGAGTCTGCAGTTGGATCCTTCACCTCTCTTTCTGCTCCCTAAAAAGCCATTTAACTCTTTAGGTGTCTACAATCCAAATATGTTTTAGGTGTCCTGATGCAATAGGGAATTTGCTGTTGACTGTTTTCAGTACTGGCTGCATTTTTTAGGAACAGATATTTAAGAAGTTGGTAAATGAGGCTTATTGGTTAAAAGCCATCCACTTCAGGTCATTCCTTTATGGTATTCCATAGGGATCAAGCCTTTTCAGGAAGAAGAGGGATTTGGCTCTGAACCTCAGGCATGCTTTCACTACTATCTATTGCAAAAGAAAAAGGAGACAAACTACCCATGTGTGCATGTGCTACGCTTTTAGCACTTGCTGCTTGCTAAGTAAGGCTTTTGCAAATCCTCTTCTTAGGCTCTCTGCAGATATTGAGAGGAGAACATAAGAGCACTACTGACGGAGGAGTTGATTCCACTAATTGGTGAGATCTCTAAAACTTAGGTTTGGCATCTCGTGTGGATGTAGTCCATTTTTGTGTTTTGCATATGGGAAAACAGATGTATAGAAGAATTAAGTGATATCATGGACTACCTTTGTCTAGCAACACGGACCGACTCTCATCCCAAATGAGAACCAAATTGTGACAACAGAGTAAGAAGAACAACCCCTCCACCTCAATAGTCCAAGCAAATACAGAGTCTTTGAAAGCTTCCAAAATTAAACCATGTCAAACTGCTACAGGCAAAGATGTATAACTATCGTCACTCGCCTGAGATGCTCCACTGACATAGATGGTTGTCGTTGTGATGGAAATAGGACAAGAAATGGTTTTTCAGATAATGAGGTCTCGAGACTTTGGAGGGTGTAGCTAAAGATCATCATTCTACCTCCAGAAAATAACATAGATTTATATCATTAGTGTGAGCGTTTCTTTACTTTTAGATTCATAAATATGAAATAGGGGTGGAAAGGAATATAAGTTTATTGGGGGCAGGGGTTGGGCTTTTTTGTTTTTTTTAATTTTCCTTTCTCACATGCTAGTGTTCAGTTAGTCTAAGGGTTAATGAATTATTTTTCTGGATTAAAAATAAACCTAGTTTTCTTAATTTTGCATTAATGAAAACAAATGGGAAGGAAGGTATATGACTTGTGTATCTAGGACATACAAAAGCACATGTTTTTGAACAACTCACAAAGTCAGCCACAATCTTCATCATTGATTTACTGATTCCAGTGTTATCTTGGGGCAAATACTACAGTTATGTAAAGTCCACAAAAAACTCCCAACATTATTTAACATTCATTCATTTAATTCATAGTACAGCATCGGTTGCATCGCAACTAATGGCTTTAAATACAAGCAGCTTTTCAAACCCTATGCATTTCCAAACCAGCCTTCAGTAAGAATGACACTACCACATCAATTACTAGCACAGGCCAGCTATAAAATTACAAAACCACTCAGTCATCTATATAATTAAATGCAAACCAAAGTAATCAAGCAAATGTTAAAGAAAATGGCTTCATATGGTAAACTTTGTAGGTAAAGGCCTACATCTACTGTTCTACTTGGGAAGGAATATACCCTTGTATCTCATAGGTATGCCAGGTATCTGCTTCCCGCTCTTTCAAACAGCATTTATAGCTGATAAATACAGAACTGTCAGCTGGTACTGTCTGCTGTTTTATCGAATTCAGTTTCTTAATCACAAATACCAGAGAATCAAGTAAAAGAGGTGTGAAACAAAAGTGGCTGCATAATGCCTGGGTGTGTCCTGATGATGTAGGACTTGGTCTCTGCCTGGCTCTTAATTGCTTACATAATTCTCCTGAGCTAATTAGCATTGCTTTTGTTAATAATGTAATTTTGTAGTTTCTTGGATGCGCTGTGAAGACAGAAGTGAAGCTGTGAATCGAGGTTAATTGAAATGCTCACGTGATGGTGATGTGCCAGATTCCCTGCTGTAAGTCTCAGGAGGAAATTTGCAGTAAGTGTAGCTTGGAGAGTAAGGACAAAATGACCTTGGCTTTTCCTTTGCCACTTTCTGCATTTAGGTGAAGTTTAGGGCTCTGTGGCCCATAGGTGTAAGTTGGCAGTTTGAGAGGGTGCTGTGATTTACAAAATCCTCCCCATTGTGCTGTCAGTAGGCTGTTTATGCCTCACAGTACCTTAGAGCAGAGGAGGATTTCTGACACTCTTCTTTCTGCTGTGAGCATTATCTCCAGCGCTTCATTTATATGACACATGCTAAAGGTTACAAAACTGGAAACATGCAGAAGTACAAAGCTTCTGGTCCCTTGAAAGTGCTGGCCAGAGCTTCTCAAAGCTGCTTCTGCCTCCTTTTAATTCTGACAAGGGGACTAAGGATTGATTCTGACCTGTCACTTGCATGCCTGTAATATTTATTTCTTCCAGTGAACACATACCTGTATGAACAAAACCATTTTTGATAGTTTATTGTGGATTTAAGATCCAACATTTAAACACTAACTTCCCAAAAGGGAACCCAAAGTCCAGAATTAAGTAAATAGGCTCCTCATAGAAAACCTGAGGAGAATCAGATGTGTTAGAAAGGGAGCCCAATTGTGCAATGAACAGGACTTATAAGAAATGTGCCCAAAGCCCCATGTTTTCCCAGATAAGACGTAGTATGAACCAGCATGTCCATTCTGATCCGATCCAGAATTCTTTAGCAGAGTGAGGACCCCTGTACGTGTTCTTCTTTCTCTGTCTTATGGCAATTCATGTTGTGTAGTTCACCTCTAAAAAAAGTTCCTAGCCACTATTTTGCAGGGTGGTGTGTGGTTTTGCCTCTTTAAGAATGCATTCTGCTAAAGAAGTCTTTATGCAGAAAAGTGCACCAATAAGAAGATAGGGATGCCAGGAAGAAAAGGCTCTGTAGCCTATCGAAGAGAGCACTCAGCAGAATGAAGGCAGAGAGGTAGATAGCAAACTTAGTGACCTTCACAGTTAGACAGCTGTTGAGAAGAGTATTTTTGGATTGTGATCTTGGATTTTTGTGTAAGAACCATTGTAGTCACTTAATAAATCTTTCTTTTGAGCTGGCCTTTTGCCATAAGAATGCAGGAACTGGCTTGGAAAGTGTCAGTAAAATCCTGGGCACTGAATGCTCCCCGCAATTAGGGGGAAATGCCAGTAGAAGATGACTTTGATAGAACTGGCTAAGAAAAGATGATTAGTGCAGTGGTTCTGTGTGCATCTCTGAATACCCACATTATGTGTCTGTATTAGCACTGTCATTCCTATGCTCTGCTTTTCATCAAGACTTAGCTACTGTTAATTGTGGGGAAACCAAGCTAGCCTTGCTGATACTGGGATGTAAACAACTACAGCTGCTGTGCTTACTCTCAGGGAACTTGCAGGGGCTGTAAAACAGGAGGAAGAACAGTTGTGAGTGCACTAGTGAAGACATAGCTTTGCATATAAAGGTTTACAGTCTTGGAGAAATTGCGTCGTTTTATATGTAAACAACATCAGAGTCAAGCAGCAAAGTAACCACTCGGCACAGAGAGGGAGAGAGGGAGAGAGGGAAGGAAAGGGAGGGAGGAGGGAGAGAGGAGATAGAAAGGGAGAGGAGGGGAGGGCAGAGGAGGGGAGGGGAGGGAATTTTCTTCCTGTTTGGAAAAGATATGGCTTTCCTATTTCTCCTTTTGTGCAACAAGGACAGTCTTGTTATTGCTAGGCTTAACTCTCAAACAGTAAATGGGATAACTGTGTTAAGAGGCTTGCGTAGAGATGATCTCAGTTTTGCTCCAATCCAAATAAAATACTTCATCTAGGCTTTGGTGATGGGTGATGATGTTAAAATGAAACACTACATGGAAAAGCAGAATTAAGGTATTAGAAGCGGTAATTGCAACAAAATTGGAAGAAAAGTTGAAAGATTTTAATAAATTTGGTATCAGATAAGCATCATAATTTTGAAATTACTAAAACTTAATCTTAATTTTATATCAAGTGATTTCCAAATTAATTACTATTGCCAGGATAATGCCATATGATTGAAAATAGTAAGATACATCTGTATCTTAAAATGAGACAAATATGACAGTTCATAGACTTATCTCCAGTACATAATTTGATATGATAAAGATGGAGTTAGTAGGAATTATTAAGTGAACTTTTAATATACATTCTTTGTAGGAAATCCAGCTATAAAACGTTCTGATGGGTAACATGCTATTCCTAAACTACAAGTAACTGACTACATGTAGGACAGCATTGCCTTGTGGGGTGAAATAGGGAGGTAGGTATTAATTGAATCCTTGAAGATTTTGATTGGTAAGAAGCACAAGGACCGGTCCTGGTCCATCTTGTTTAACTTTCAAAATAGGAATCTTTTTATTTACCAGCATGAAGTACTGGCACATAAGCATGTGCTGCTTATGCTGGCTGTTTGCAGAGAGTCAGAAGACAATAGCAGTAGAGTTAAGGGCTGGGATATTGCTTGGAAGATCTGGATCATCTCAATGATGGAAATGATAGAAATAGGATATAATCAAAAGGTACAGTCTATAGAGGGATGTGCACTTGGGCACTAGTAAGAAATTCTAATGTAATGTGGGAACTTACCATTTGGAAATAGCTGAGGAGAAGTACTTAAGGCTTCTGTTAGCTGATAAAAATGTGGAATTAAAAAGGATAAATGGTATTGTAAAATTTAACAAAGATAGTCAAGTAAGATAGGGCAGGGCAAGGTCAAGTGCTGGGACATAAATAGTTCCATTCATCTGTATTAAAGGAGAGGAACTAAAATGGGAATTTGGCAGAGATAAAGGAACAAAGCAGCCTGTTTTATGTGAGGTGGCTTGAATAACTCAGTTTTCTGGATTGGCAGACGGGTGACTGAGGATATGGTAATGTCTGTAGATACACTGAAGATGGCAACATCAAGGAGTCTGAGAGCTCTGTACCTTATAGAATAATGCTGGCAGAAGAGCATATGCAAGTAAACTGGCCACAAATAAGCTTATATGGGAAATAAGACTGTTTCTAGCTATTCACAGCAGGGTTTTGGTACAACCTTCATCCAAGTAAAGGCAGAAGGAAAAGAACTACCTGCAGTGTGATCAGTGCACTTTGAAAGGGCTGTATGATGGGGTGTCTGGCACTGCAGGGACGGGAGTTGGGAGCTCTCAATGTCGTTTTCAATTCTTTGTGTGGCCACAGGCACAAGGATTTGTATGAAGTGTAGTGCAGCCTGGATGAAGGTGAAACCAAACTATTTCATGATCAGTTAAATACTTTGTGGAAGTTGCATTTTTGTTCAAAAGCTGCAGTGAATGTAATAAAAATCAGCACAGTTTAGACATAATCAAACTGGCTTTTTCTCCTTGCTGGAAGAAAATAACCTGAAGGTTATTTTTTTGTGTGAAACATTAAATGTTCTGTTTAATCTGATGTAGAATATTTGCTATGGATGCTTCAAAGAATGTCATAGCATGGATATACTTAGGATAAGAAAATCCTACTTTTGTCCAAGGAAATTTGAAGCAGAATTTTACTTCTTAGAAAGCTGTCAAAGGACTGGGTATGCCTGAAGCAGAAGAAAGGGGAGATTCTTCCTCACATTGAAGCTGTTGACCTGCACAAAGTCACCAAGTTTGTTGGGTCAGAGAGGGAGAGCATGAGAATCATGGCTTTCTACTCTGGGAACCAGCGTGCTCCCTTGGGAAGTATGTCCCCATCCCTCACTGTCTGGACAAAATCTAAGTGGTAACAGGAAGAACTGAGCATAGCCTGCCTCAACCAGCCTCTGCTGAGGGGTCTCTGCTACCTAAGTAAATGCTCTGATCATTGAGCTGTTGCGTAATTGGGGACTTTCCTCCAACACAGTTTATCCCCTCCTTTGTTTTTTTTCCAGCCAAAACTATTCAGCAAATTTGAAGCAAATAGTTTAGACATGACTGAAACCACATTTTCCGGGGAATTAACTATTAAAATAAATAAATAAATCATCCAGCTCTAACTATTACCACTTCTAAAATCTATGCTGATTCTTTTCCATGTAAATTAAAACACTTTTTTTTTTTTTTAAACATAACAGTTTGACCCATCCACCCAGACAGGGTAGTAAATTAGGCTCATTACTTATGCTGTTCTGGAGTGCACAGTGTCTGTTATAGTACTTACAACTAAAGCTTATTTCTTCAGTTTACCAATCTTTTCCTCTCTTTGCAGCCTCTATGATCCCATCAATTCCAACAGTTGGTCCCTGTAGGAGAGGGGACTCTTCACTATTACATTTTTATCCTTTTCTAGTCAACTAATTTAAAACTACTAAAAAAATAAAGTACTTTTTTCACTGGGCCTACTGCTAACTTGTTTATAGTTTAAATTATGCCATGCTACTAGATACAAATTAAACCATTGGAAACAAACAAAAAAAGGATATCTCTAGATGTACTTGAGAGTAGTAGGAAATGTTGCAGTAAAACAGAATTCCAGCTCTGAACCAAGCGCTGGACTTGATGTTGCCTGCAGAGTGGCAGCTTGAAGAGAGATTTCACTACAGAGAAGAACAAAATTTGCGAGTTTTTTCAGAATTTTCCAAGCAGTTGTGCAAGACTCCCCCATGACCTGTGTCACAGGCAGATGTGTAGCACACAGAGTCAGTCAGGTGGTACGACCTGGTCTTACAGACCCCCTGATCTTACAAGGCCTGGAAGCCCTTGACCTTGAGCTGTCAAAAAGACTTGGGTAGATCATGTCAGATATGCTGCAATGAAAGCAGCAGCCAGGGATTTGGGGACAAGCTGTTTGCTTTCCACCACATTGGAATTTGATAGTAGAAAACTGTTTAGCCAGAACAAGGTGGGTTGGAACTAGATTATTGTCAAGGTCCTTTCCAACCTAAACCACTCTGTGAATCCATGATTCTGTGATTTTTGATCAGCTCACTTGGGCCTTGTGGGACTCCAGCATTGCATCTCACCTTTCAATCTGGTAGTTTCCAAATACTCTCCCTAGACCATGGTGAGCAGCCCTCTGATATATCTGTTGCAGCATTTTCAATTCCTGTTTGATTCCGTGTGTGATTTGCAGCTGGCTGGAAAAGTGAAGTGGTGGTTTGGCGCTTCAGAAGCCAGTGGAAGGATGGTTGTAGACATCCCTCTAGTGGCCCTGCAGCCTCTGGGAAGCCGGGAGCAGCTCCGGCATCCCCGGGCTCAGCACGCACGCAGATGCTGGCAAATGGATGCTCTCCTCTGTGGAGTTGGATCCTCTGCAGAGCTGGGGAACTGTAATGGCAGATAATATTTCCCTTTTTCCCTTTCACCAAAATTGTCCTTGAAACTCAGCACCAGTTCAGGCTGTTTAGAATGTTTATTTCATGCAGGCCACAATGCTGGAAGGAGGTATCCATTTCACTGGCCACTGTAAAAAACAGGTGTACTGGGAGATGATATGAGGAAAGGGTTAATACTGTCTCTATGCTTTTTTAAATGTCAGTTTATTTAACCTAGAGAGAGAGCAATTTTGTCATCACTGAAAAAACTGGCAAGTTATACTTGAAGATTAATCAAATGTTTCAGATTTTCTTGTCTCTTTTATACAAGATTGATAAGATACCAAGGGGGAAAAAAGAAAAAAAAATAAAGTATATGTAAAATAAACATAAGGAACATTTATTTGTACATTTGTAAACTTTGACTTCTCAACTGAAACTGTCAATAAAATGCTAATTTTGTTTATGTGTTTGGAGCATTGAATGTATTTTGCTATTTAATTTGTTAAAGGACATGCAGCAAAAACAAGAGCCCTGGGACAGCATCTTTAAAGATAGTCAAGAGTTCTCTGGTGTTGTCTTCAGAAAGGCTGCTGCTCCAGGACACCTGTGAGGTCCTGGTACCCACTGTGATTGCTTCATGAAACACAGCAAGAAGTCCAGAGATTGCCCTTGTTGGTGCTGGACAAGCATCCTATGGAGGGTCCTGGGGAAGCTGGCACACTCTTAGGAGTCACTGCAGAGCAGAACTGATAGGAGTTTGCAAAGGAGATCAAGACAGTCACCTCCTTTCTGCAAATGGGAACAGAAGAGAGGAATGATTTGTCCAGAGGCAGCAAGTTGCCTGATAGCAGTGTGATGTGGTGGTGAAACGATATGTGGGTTTATATGTAAGTAAAACTGTCCTTAAAAGGACAGTTTTTTAACTCTCCTTAAAAGCCCACACTGAGATTTCTCTATATGGAAACAGAAACTACAAATGTCATCCTTCTGATAATGGTAGCTCTATATCTCAGTAACTCATCTGTACTACCAATATTACCATTGTGAATCCAAACTGTGAATTACCTATACAAAATATCAAAGTGTAACAATTCAGCTCCAAGTGTAATTTATTCAGTTTTAACTCATGCCCATTTCAAAGCCCTCATTTGCTGAACGACTATTTCTAGTTGAACCTTGATTGTTTTAAACTGATTGGAAGCAATCAATTGAATGAACAGACATCATCCTGATCAGGTTTTGATTTCAAATGTGGTAAAAAACTTTTTAAGTAGCAGTGGGGGGATTTTTTTTTTCCCTTTAGAGCTGCATCATTTACTCTCTGAATCATAAATGCTGTTTTGCAGACTTCACTCCTTACCCCCCAAAAATAGCTCCCATGGGTCAATTTAAGCAATGGACCGTTGGCATAAAGCCAGCAGAGAGAAGATAAATGCCTGAGAAGTTTTCAGACAACATCTATGTAAACAATTACTGTTGTCTTGTTTTCATTTCCAGGCAACTGATCCTCAGAGACACATACATAGCATACAGACAATATCTGGACAGCCTTCCAACCTTTTCTCTCCAAGCAGTCTATATTTTCTCCACGTATAAATGAACAGTATTTTTCAGATCAGGAATAAAATATATGTTTCTTTGGAAGATACTGGTTTTAAAGACTCCATGAGTGATCATCTATTTTTACATTTAATTCCTTTTTGAAAAGATTCCCGAGCTTCAATCTGCAGTAAAATTTTAATACAGTCTAGAGTCTTTCAGACTGGGAGCAACACATAATTAACCAATAAATACACACTAATCCACATTTGCTTTTTGTGCTGCTCAGTGGTGCAGGGCTTTCAATGTTTTTGATACGTTCCAAACAAATCTGATCTGTGCATGGGGACTGCCAGTCTACATGTCAACTTTGGCAATTTGAAAAACTGACATTTGTATTTATCCCTTTATTCAGTTCTCCAAGATAAATCTGCAGTTAAGACTTCTTTGATCTCACAAGAAAGGCAACGCTAATGTTTTTGCTTTAATTTTCTTTCTTTTAATCTCTCATCACAAGAAGAATTGATCCTGCAGTTTTTGAGGCAAATGTCTGTATTTCTCTCATGAATATTCTACCAGGACAGGATAATTTTGTGTAATTTCAGCTGTGTTTGTTTTCTCTTCACCCACATAAGGATAGAAATCATCACCTCTGATAGCTTCTTGCCAGCCTGAGGGCCTCACACACATTGCTGGGGGGACTTTTTTGGTGAGAAATTGTTTCTTACACAAAACTAAAGTTATAGAGGCATTGTAAAAAGGTTCTTTGACGATTTGTGGGGAGTAGCATTATCAAGTAAATCACAGCTCACTGTTCCAAACTATGAATTCTGTGCAACCTGCTTTAGTGCATGGGATGGAGGCAGTGTGTGGATATTGTCCTGTTTTTGTAGGTATTTTAGGGATCGTGCATTGATCACAACAAACTTCTGGGAAGCTTGGTTTGATCCTTGAGTGCCCAGCTACCAGCAGAGTGTCAGGTGTCACTCACAGCACTTTTATAGCTGTGGTATGATCAGGAATGGTCTGAAGGTTCATGATTCTCACCACAGGGAAACGGGAGTGAGTTCATTCAGCCATTGGTTCGTTCATTTATTCTACAAGTAACTTATTTTCTGGACACTCTGGAACAAGAGCAGAGGCAGAGTACAATCTAGCAGATGAGAACGTCAGAAGACCGTTTCATCATAGTTTGGAAAGATGGATCTTACCAATAATAGCATGAGAGATACTGATCGTGTGTCCTTTTCTAAGTGGCATTAATGCCTTCCCTCATTCCAAATGCCACGCTAAAATTCTACCACTTGTAATATTTAGTAGAATCCTCTTTAAAACTTTATTATCCAAATAAATTCTGAAATGTTTGCACTAGACTTTGAACTTTTCTTCAAACAGATAGCTGTCAGTTTTAATGCTGAGGTCACAGTTTGTGCACACAAATGTCATGCTAGGTTTAGGAGCCAGCAAGCCTCTTAAGAATTTGTGTGTCTTGTAATTAAAAAATATATAAAATCAGCCTTTCCATTTCTGAGCTTGTGGAAACTTTATATCTGATCTGACACCTTCCTAATTTGCAAGAATTTTATCAACTCTTGTTTCATTTTTCATGACATGTGCTTAGGCTGCATGTTAAAGAAGCAACAACTATGGCTGTAAACTGCTTGTGACATTTTTATGGTTATAAGTAGGGGAAGTACCCTTAGAAAATGACAGCTGTAACACCAAAATTGCTTATCTATCTGAAAAACAATACTGTATTACCTAAAAGCAGTTCTGTGCAGGATTTGTATTAGGATCTACAAAAGACTGAAATCAAAACTGTTTCAGGAACTTGAATAGCTTCTTGCAGATTTTTATATTCCTGAAGTTTTCACTTTTAGTGCCAAATTTTCCTTTTGAAGGATGCTATGAAATATTAGAGGCTGTTGTGAATGAGTGTTTTAAGGTTTTTTAAGGAATTACCTGAAAAGGTATCAGCAAAGTCAGGTTTAATATAAAAGCAACAGCACAACAAAGTTTGTTGGCAAAGTTCACTCTACTACTTACTAGATGGTTAAAGCACACTGAGAAAAAGCAAACAAAAATCAGAAATCAATCAATCCTGACTGAAATAAGTCCAAACCCGTCTAGGTAGAGGCTGGGGGAAGAGGGGAGGGAAGAGGAAGGAATAGGAAAGGGTAAGGATAAAAAGGAATACAGAAGACCCTCCTGTTGAGTCACAATGTGCACAGTAGACCCTCATGCTAAACTGAACCCAGACTTGACCAACAGTTTATGCCTAAAGGCCCAACATCACTTAAACTTTACAAAACAGCACTTAACAGCACTTAACTTATCAGTACTTAATTGATAACTAAAGCTAAACAATTTAGCAAAATATTCATATTGAATTTACTATATCACAACAATAACTCACAGGTCTGACTTACCACAAATTTAAAGTATTTAAGGATCTGAGTGAACAACATTCCTAGTCCATTTCCTGTAGCATATTCACACTTGCATGCACACACAGAGTCAGTACAAGGTATATGCATTTGAAAAATTCCCCTTGAATTCAGTGAAATACTCACTTTGGATGCCTTTGCATCTTCTCAACTGGCAAAGGGTTGAGCCTCAAGGAGTCGAGGGTATCAACTCAGGATCCTTTGTTGTGGTTCACAAGTCTCTAAGTGTAGCAAACTTGAGAGTTTGCTGGCTCTGAGAGGCCCCACTCAGAGGGAGATGCTGGTCACAGATCACTGTGGTCCAGGAGAGATCAAAGGGTCTCACTTTGGACCACTGCTTATAGGGTCACAAGAGAGTTGGCTTTAGTCATAATAATTTTCCATCCTGACCACAATTCAGGTCAACTTTCTTTGAAAGTTTGATAACAAAAATATATTATTGCACTTAGGTTGTTATTCAGGTAAGAAAAGTAAGTTTCCAAGGCTGTTCATTAAAAAGCAGGAGTTCATTAGACAGCACTAGTTCCTGGGAACAGACAGTATTTCTGATAATCCCAAGATGACCTGAGCCCAGGTGCTGTTCATCAAGGCTGAGGCCTAACATGCATTTCTCAGATCATATTGCAGCCTGGGCAGGGAGGGAGGATACACCGCCACAGAGGCCTAATAAAAGTCAATTAAAGAGTAATGATGTGGTGAGCTTCGATCTTTTGAGTTTGCTGTTACAACTTCTAGGATTGTCTCCTATAACCCCATCCCTTAATCTAGAGGTGATTGCAAATACCATCTCATTCATGGGTCACACAGTGAGAAGCTGTTGTCAGCCCATGTTCCCATGACAGGTGCCCAGGGAGCAGCTCCAGGCCCTCGGATGGAGGGGGTAGCAGGGGGGGAAGGAACCATGTAGACCATACACAGAGAGCACCAGGCTTCCCTTTTTCTCCAAATATCATTGAGATTTCCTTCAGAACATATATCATGTTTTCTTATAAACGAGCATCCCAATCCTTCAGTTAACATCTGTGTGAGAAGCCTCATGTAGATTTTTATAAACTACACAACATCTCACAACACGCTTCTCACAAATTACCAGTGACAGATCAGAAGTGGAAACAAAAATAGCAGATTCTTGTTCCAGATAAACACTTAAGCAGTTACTGATGTCCCAGCATGGTGCCAGAGCCCTCCAGGATCATGGAACACAATGGTTTAAGGTTTGCAGTCAGCCCCAGCACATGAGGAGCCAGCAGGCAAACTTTGCCACTGACAATGACAACAGCTAAAGTGACTTTCTAAATCAGTGTAATTAAATTATGCTTATTAATGAGGCTCTTCACACACAACAAAAAGATTATTCGAAAGGAAGAAATTTGCTGGCTTTTAAGACCTTTCCAACCACTAATAATTTGAAGGACTCCTCTCTTCTTTACTAATCACATTATTTAAAACTGCAGTTTATATCTGAAAACTGACGAGTGATTTCCCACATCAAATGCAGGCTGACCTGGCAACTTGCAGCATTTGTTTCAGTTACAGAGTCAGCAAAACCAGGCATTTTATAATTACGGATCTTGGCTGTTGCTGTTGCTGATGAATGCATTTAGATACTCAGCCGTTCTTATTGAAGGGAACACAAAACCAGTATTGGAGCTTTTTAATTTATTATAGGGTCCTCAATTACCCAAGGGAGCTGCTTACACACACAAATATATTGAAAATGGACAGATATGGGCTCAACAAAAATAACCTTAATACCCTCTCAGAAAAAAAAATCAACCGTTATTACACAAATTCAGAGTAAGGTCCTATCACATTTGCAAGTGAACTCGTATTTAAGTTCAGCATCACTCAGGAATTTTTCCTCTAGTCCAAGTCAAATCTTTTCAGTTAGTTAGTGTACTGAGCTTATACAGTACATTGTTTTCCAGTGTTGCAAGCGGATAATATTGTACATAACCAAATAGTAACGACAGTGTTTGAATCTTCAAAAGTCCATTCGTTTCACTAGAGGTGCACTATTAGAACAGATGTATTTAATAATTATAGTGTAATTGTCATATTACAGCTTCTCCTATTTCACTGTGACAATTGTGTAGTTAAAAATGAATTCTACAGCTAGAAAACCTGTACATATGAGGAAGGAAAAACAACCACTAGAGATTTGTTCAAAATGAAAAATCCTAATGTTTCATTTAAATAATGTTCTGCTTTTCAAGACAGATTTTCTTAACATTTCTAAGATGGTTATTTTGTAAAAATATACTTCCTTACTCCATAGATAAGACAAAGAGTAATGGGTAAGAGAGTAGGTTTACCCTAAATATTAGGAATATTTATGCCCAGGTAAGTTGTGGATGCCCCATGCCTGGAAGTGTTCAAGGCCAGGCTGGACGGGGCTTTGAACAAGGACGAGAGGACATAGCCTCAAGCTGTGCCAGGGGAGGTTCAGGTTGGCCATCTGAAGAATGTCCTCACTGAAAGGTTTTTAAGTATTGGAACAGACTGACCAGGGAGCTGGTGGATTTACCATCCCTGGAGGTGTTCAAGGAACGACTGGACATGACACTTGGTGCCATGGCCTAGTTAACATGACAGTTAAAGCTGGACTCAGTGGTCTTGGAGGTCACTTCCAACTTAAGCGATCATTCTGTGATCTAGTGGAAAGTGGCCCTGCCCACACCAGGGGGGTTGGAACTAGATGATCTTTAAGGTCCTTCCAACCCAAACCATTCTAGGATTTTATGAACATGTAATAAACCCCAACTGAAACACAGAGCATTCAGTATTAGTTGTTAGTGCTGTTTTGTTTTATGGCAAACATTGCCATAAAACCTGAGTTGTTGAACCAGTGTAGGAGAATCAACACTTCTCTTCAGAACAGACCTCCGTCCCCACCAAAGCACAACAGCAATGTAAAAAATCAAATAGAGAGTTTGCCATCTGGAAAGAAGCCAGCCACTGAAGGATAATATTTCTGTGCAAAAAGATGCTCTTACTGCCACTTCCAGATTCTCTGAAGGAGCACATTCCCTATTTTTACTGTGATATATGTATTAACTCTGTGCTTGTATTTATTATTGTAACAACTCAGCCTGTAGTTTGCATTTTACAGAGACAGAAAAACAGTATCCAATACTGAAGTCCTGTATTCTGGAGCTGGAAGTTGGTAGCCCATATGTAAGAAGTCAAGATTACTTTCCATCACAAGCTTGCACTTGGTTTTTTTCCCAGTTGTGAGTAGATGCATAGTTGTTGATGCCGTGAGATCAGGAGAACAAGGACTGGGACTTCCAATTTAAACACAAACCAGCCAACACACCCCCTTAAAGTCCCGAAACCTATGGTGTCATGTAGTACTAAACCTGCATTATATGGGAAAACTGTTGTTTAAACATGTCTTAAAATGGCTTTTGGTGGTCTCTTTGCAAACACATGCTTCTTCTTCCCAGCACCCCCCATGTTATCCATGCAGGAATGTCCTGGGAAGGTGTCCTGAGGTGTTTCCCATTGGCCTTTGTTAACCTCTTCTTGTGATTGGGTGTTCCTGTAAGCCCCTTGAGACTTCTAATTGGTTACTCTGTGAATCCTCCTAAACCCTATAAATGTAACATCCCCCACAATAAACGCTCTCTTGCCTCCTCTCCACGCCCGGTGTCCTGTGTCCTGTCTCCCTGCCGGCCATGGGGCCACGTGCGGGGGGGGGGGAGGGGGAGCACCTCTCCCCTCCAGGCTCAGGGCCTGAAGAGACCCCTGAGAAACCCCTGGAGTTTCCCTTTCCCCATCCCTCAAAGCGTCGCAATGGTTCTTCAGATGGAAACGGAACTAGAACTGGGCCGCCCCACGTCGTGGGTGGGGAAAGGGATCCAGAGTGTCACTTTTCAGTACTGGAGTGAATGAACCCAAGCATGGCAGTGACAGTTCATTCTCTCAGAAAACCCAGTATCAAAACTCCGCAGTTTTATTTTATGGATACTAAGGCTGCATGAATACAGATATAGTCCATAAGTATTTTATGTATTTTTGCAAGCTGAGCCACAAAGACCTCATGATACTCAGCCAAAGCTCTGCCATATGTAAACTCTGGAAACAGGAATGGACCAACTTAAGTAGTTATTGACCACAACATTTCTCCTGAAAATTGCTACGGGATTGTGGCATCACAAGATGCAGATCTGTTAGCTGCCAGCACCATGTAAACCAGATTTTAAATTTTCACATAATTTAAAATGTTTGCAGTTACACAGTGAATTCCAACAAAGGCAACCCAACGTGTTTTATTAGACTTTTCATATTTTTTTAAGCTTATTTTATTTTTTTGCTGTACAAAGGCAGAAATGCAAACTATCTCAATAAATCTACATCAGTAACTACCTAGACATAATACAGGTATGTACACAAAGCCCAATTATTTCACTTCAGTGTTGACACCATAGTTCATGCAGAGCTGGATGCAAACAATGCAAACAGCACCTACACAGTGTAAGGCATAACCCTCAGGATATTTACACCTTGTTCCTTATAGCAAAAGCTTCCTATACACTACTTCTTTGCTAAACTTGTAATTGACAATCCTGCTTTGTAGTGCAGAACTCAGAACTGAAAGTGCATTCCTTCATTTTATACATTCTCACACAGATTGTGGACTGTTCCAGGAATAGTTTTCCAACCTTCAATTTTAGAAGCAATTAATTACTTATGTTTTTGTCAATTAAAATTATAAGGTAAAATACCTTATAATTTTCCCAAAGCTCTGTAGATCACATGCAATTATGAAAACAAGGCTCCTAAAAGCAGTTCCAGGAACTGTTGTGTCTTTTGACTTGGTAAGATAAGTAATCCTATGAAAGCACTGAATCAATCCACTGCTGTTTTTTTTAAAACACTTTGGAACGTTTCAGGTTATGAAGTTTGCAGATCCAAGCAGCTTTGGAAAAGTTCTATTACACAGGTATTTACATTCTGTATTGGATTTTTATGTTGTAATTAATCTGGCATCTCAGAAAAGTTTTTTTCTTCCCTCGGAGATCTCACTTTGAAAGGAAATTCAAAAAGAAATATGATTACTGTCACTGAAGAAAATACCATTCTGACTTAGTTTACAAGCAAAATAAAGTAAAAAACTGCCTAAGATTAAAAAGTCAACTCTTCCCCTCAAATATAAAGCAGCAGTGCTAAAAATAATTTTTCTTTTGTGTTCTGAGCTACTGCAATTCCTTCCACATTTATTTTTAAGCCACAACATCCTGAAGCACTGGGGCTCCTGAGAGACTATATTCCATCCAATCTTGTTTTAGGAGATCAAAATACTACATCCCCTCTTCTTAGTTTTCCCTCCCTTAGACAGGGCAGGAATGAGCAACAGCAGCGCGCTCTCATTTGAAACCACATCATAACTGTCATGTAACAATCTCAGCTGAGCTGGACTCTGGAGTGCAGCAGCTGAGAACTGACACACATTGTTCCATCCACAGAGTGCAGCTCTGACAGGAAACCAGTAACGAGTGAAGGAAGGAAAGGGTCAGGGAACAAGAGTGCCTTGCTGTATGTGCACGTGCCTGACTCTCTGACCTCCTGCTGCCGTGAAGTAGCACAACAACGGAGACTTCTCTTCCAGGCATTTCCTATACTCCCACACATCTTGGCCCACAAACTATGCTCAGAAAATTATACTAGTACAACAGTAGAGTTTACAAATTCATCAGAATGGTATGACTATCTTAAAAAAACCCAACACGTATAAAAATGTAAACGGAGGACATTACCTTCATCAGGAGGAACTGATGGTTCCATTTCAGAAGTGACAGTATCCATATCTTCACAGGTTTTGGCACCTGGCTTCTCTTTTTCCACCTCACATAGATACACATCAATGGGTCCTTTTGTGCTCTTCACATGTACTTCTATGTGATCCTATAAAACAGCAACTTGCATATAATTAAAAAATTCAAAGAACAAATCTTACATGTGCTTTATCTGTTCTTGCACGTATTTTAAAGCCAATAGATTAAGAACAGAAAAAATACAGGAATGATATAACTATTTAAAATTGTTTTACTACTTCCACATAAATTATGACTATTACATATATTTGTAGAACAGTTTTTAAGCAGCACTAAGCTAATAAGTTTTCATTTTTGAAGAAAATGCACTTAAGTACTTGTTTAGTCTTTCTACTAACCTTTAGATATATGACCAAGATTTACTGTATGTTTAGGAAGAGTAACAAAATTTCAAACTTGACAAATCAACGCCATGGATCAGAAAACAAATCAAGAGCATGCAGCTTTACCAACACAGCAAAGCAACTAACCCCTATCACTTCTACTACTTCCCTTCAGCAGACATCACATTGCAAGACACAGAGCAAATATAATTTTATGGACAACTGAGAGAAGATTCTGTTCTCTCTAAAATGCAGCTTTTTAAATTCTGCCTTTTTATTGCTTTAGGAAGTCTTTGGAATTTTATCTTTTTCATCTCCACTGGATGAGAGCCAGTTCCTTTTACCAGGGAAACCATTGGAGATCTATGCAGTGGAACTAAGTCTTCTTGTTCTACTGATTCATATCTCCTTTTCCTAAGATATCACCACCCTTTCTGTGCATGCAGCAAGACAAATTTGATGACTATGCAATTAAGAACATTATAAAAAATGCATATGCAAAAAGAAAGCTGAATTAAAGCTACATTTGTTATCTTAAGCTCACTTCCAGGATTTCCCCTCTCAGAGCACTCCTTTAAGCAGTGGATTCTCAGTATTTAGGCCCCAGTATATAGATGCAGCATTGCTGGGTGCAGATGGAAAAGCTCTGGCTCCTCTGTGTGACTGGAATGGAGCCTGAGTATTGCACCATGGGGTGAGGACAGGGCACGGCCCCCACCTCCATCAGAGATCCATCTAGACATGATCTACTAGAGTGACAAAATGTTTTCTTTTTTTCAACTATACTGCACATTTCATACTTTATCACAGCTGTTCCATTCTCTCTAGCAAGACCGGGGTACCTAAAGCCCAGACACTATTATTTAATGATTTAAGTAAAAATACTGTAAGTTTCTCAGACAGTTATCCCTACAGCATTGTTTAGTGGAACACAAGAACAATGAACTACCAATATTTGCATGACAAAGGAAACAAGTTAATTACTGACTGCTGCTGCAAAAAGTCAAATTTGAGAACTTACATCTTTAGGAACTGGTATTTCCAATTTGGTTTCCTCTGGAGCTTTGATTGCAATCACAATCTGTTCTTGAAATGTCTGAATGCTTCGGATGTCTTGGTATGTAACATAAGCTAGTGTATACATTGGTCAAGGATTCTGTAAAGTAATTTGCTAATGAGCAGAAGCAAAGAGTGTGATGTCAAGATATGCTGAGGTAAAATACCAACTTAAGAAAAGTGGTCAACAGTGGTGTTGAGGTTATTTTAGTATTAGCTTCGTAAAATGAAGCTAACAAGTTAGCTAATGAATTAGCTAACAAGTGGAAAACAGCTTTTCTTTATTTCTAGGAAGAAAAAATATATTCAATGTTAAAAAACCCCAAATACATTTGACATTTTTCCCAGATGCTTCATGAATCTACAAAGCAGAGGGAATATTGCGCTTGAGAAACTACTTTCTGTTTTGTAATAGCATGAAAATAATTTCCTGGGAAACTACAGAACTATTTTCTTAACCCGAACAAGTAAAGTGTAAAGAAAATGGACACACTTCATTTGAGCATAGACCTTAACATTTTGCCAAACAAGGGAGCTAAGTAATATTTTACTGTAACCTAAAGCTAAAATTCAACATTTATGTCATATTGTAAAAGAAATCTCTTTTCTATTGCCAAAACCCATCTGTAAGTCAAAACTGCACTGGAACCTCTATCAAGAGACAGAACAGTATTAGGACACAACCAACATACCATTACATCTTCTTGACAACAGGCCACTGGGACTCCATTTTGAGTCCTCTTTGTCATCTCACTAAGGAACTCAATCTCACGGTAGGTCAAGAACTGTCCCTTAGAGAACTTTATAATGGAGAGAACAAGGTGATGGTCAGGGTACTACGACCATTGCTGTACTTCGTTCTTCTGCAGGGGAAAGGTTACACAAGCAGCACACACCTGAGAACAGGCTGGACTGTGCATGACACTGCAAAGCAAGGTACATGACTGGCAAACACAAATACAGAATAACCAAAAAGTTTCCTTTTTTAAAACTCATCAAGTATTACTGCATACCTGTGGTATGGGCCTATGCTTGTTACTCGGTATGTGAATACCTGGAACCAAAATCACGTGTTAAAGTAATGCAAGAGTTGAAAGGATATTTTGCATTTTCTTTGTCATCTGTTAGTTCAAATATCTGATGAGCACAATTGTTGATTAATTCATCCAGAGCTTCTTCCATGGCTGACAAGTCAGAAAGTTCATCTTTAAGGTTTTGCTGCTCTGGTGCTTTTCCAACAACTTGGTCAAGATTAGAACCTCTAAAAGAATATGAAAGTTGTTTAGTATGTTTATCAATAAAAGCCTGTTTATTGAACATCATGTGTACTAAGAGAAAGCAGTGAGAAACTCTGTCATCCTTTACTCTGCTGAAATATGCTCCCATGTGCTTTTGCTCTTGATACTTGTTGACATATTAAATAATTCACACAGCCTAAGGACACAAAATATTACCTATGAAAAGTAATTTAAGGCTTAAAAATACTCTCAAAGTTATAAATATTACTCAGTATTGTTTGGTTTTACTGTTTCAGAAATTAGAAGTTTCAAAGCCAACTCACATCCACTGGATAAGATTCTTAGATCTTTTCTGAATTAAGTCGATTCCATCCAACACATTGGTGATGTCATACACTCTTCGTTTTCGTACTCCAAGTGCTGTTGCTACTTCATTTAAATCAAGAACACCGTCTGGAGCTTTTTTGAGAAGAGCCATAAATCTTCGTGTCAAAAGCACCAAGGACGCATCAAATCGTGGCCTTTTGACTTCCACAGTTTCTGTGAAGTTTTGATAGAATATTTAGGGTAAGCTACTACATAAGCATGAAGTGTTCCTTAAAAAAAAAAAGTGATAGTGATAAAGTAACAATGAAGATAAAAGTCTGGAAGCACTGCAGTTTTTAATGCTGACATTGCAAAGGCATCATGTAAAGCCTATTAACTACATATATCTTTGTTTGTTTGCAGTGATTGTATCTACATAGCAAGCATGCACCCTCGTGCTTTCAACATTTATGACTTCACGCTGTTAGTATGGATATTAATAGTTGTGTAACTGTATGTTCCATAGGACATGAGATAGATCACTGAATGAATACCAATGAAATCCTGGGTTAACAGTACACAGATAGTCAGGGGCACTGCCAGAGAAATGCAGCTCTATCTCTGCTCCATGACACCATTAAAATGTTTTTTCACACCCCTTTGGCCCAGATTAACCAGTAGACCTCCCAGATAACAATCAGGCATGGTTCAGGAGTCAGCTCAGCTTCAGGACTGTTTCAGCCTAGAAACGACCAATCTGTTCTGGGGTAGGAGAACTTAATATGTGGACAAACTCTGTTTGCACTATTTGGCCTCAGGGCAAAAGAACTGGTCATTCCATTGTTTAATTTACTAATGGAATAAAGATCTACAGACATCCTAACACTACAGGTTTAAGAGAGATCCCTGTGCTATGTGTATCCATTACCAACATATTTGCAGAAACAGCAGAAAAGTCACTGACAAACAGCTTGTTTAACTTGAGAATGGTATTTCTGTATGCAAAAAGCACAAAAAAGCATCTACATTTGAGGTACAAAAAAGACATGATACACACACACACTCATTTGATGCCAGAGGCAATGAAAGACTGTCAAATTCTGCTATTACTTGTCTTTTCTCCTGTAAAGCAAACTAGGTATTTCATACCTCTGAAAATATCTGTTCATATTGAACTGTGTTGCTGAGCAATACTCCAGTCTAATGCTTTAAGAAAAGGTGACTGTGTGTAAACAAACTTCCCTAGAAAATGCTCTACCTCAAACATCAGTATCTTTCCCAAGATGAACGAGACATGTACTTTTACTCATAATGTATCACACCCATTCCATGGCTGCAAATCTGTGCACTCTTTAACGTGAAGTGACAGGTCCAACAACTCGGTTTTGGACTGTGTTACTGTGAGATGTGTGAAAGAATTCAACTGGTGAGAAAACAACAAAAAAACCCCAACAAAACCCAAACACCCGGAAATTCACTCAAGCTTGTTTTTACATTTATTAATATCAGTTGAAAACCAGTATTTGCCAGCATGATGTTTCAGTTTTCTATAACTCACTTTTCCTGAGCATTATTTTCTTTATAGCAGTGGGAAGGTATATTTGCAACAAATTTTAAGAGCAAAACTGTGAAGAAGTGTTCCTTCGCATCTGTTATTTCATTTAGTGTTCAGCATTTCTCCTGCTCTGCTGATATGAGATACATTACAATTTCTCATTTGTTTACAGCATGTATTCACATTGTAAAAAGCCATGAAATACTTAAAGAATAATCTTCCAACACGAAACACAGCAACTTACTTTTCACAAGCTGTCCATCTTTGTGCACATTCAGGTTGGTTACTGGTGGCTGGGGAAATAAAAAAGGAAAAAGTAACTGTCATAAAATGCTATTTACAGGGGAAGCTTTTTCAGAAGAAGTCCCCAAATCAACTTCAAATGCGACAGCCATCACAGTGCTGACAATTCAACAGGTATTAATGTGAAGAAGTGTCACCAGACAGAAGGGATACATGCTCATTATTTCCTGACAGAATTTTCAGCCCTTAATCTCAGCATATCTTTCTCTGTTTTGGAAAGCAGGAAACACCACTGAAGGCCCTAGTGTTCAAGTAATGGTCACAACACAAAGAGATAACTGCATAATCTCTATAAATCCAAGCTTCATCTATTCCATGTAGCAGCTCATATATGGAAGATACACTGCTATTATACAGCACTACAGTTACATGTTACAAACAAGACTGGCAGCAGAGCCTGCTCTGGGCGAGATACTAATGTAATGAGCCTAAGCAGGTACTTCATTACACTCCTCTCCCCAGTTTAAGAACGGAAGCATTTTCAAATTCAGACTCATTACAGTTGGAAGAGCCCTAAGGTCACCTCTGGTCCAACCGCCAGCTCCAAGCAGGAACAGCCATTAGATGAGAGCAGCTTATGCAAGGTTTAATTAACTGGGTCTTTAAAATTACAAGGGATGGAGGCTACATCTCCCTGAGCATCCCACTACACTGCTTCCCTGTCCTCACAGTGAAGAAGTTCCATTTTACATCAAGCTGCAACCTCTCTGGCTTCTTTTGTTTCAGTTCATGACTATTTTCTTTCAGCCTCCCATCAGGTACAACTGTGAAGTGTCTGGCCAGTTTCTTCAGTTCTTAAGATCCTTGCAAGTATGGTATGAAGCTGTGTCAGGGATGGTTTAGTCAGATATTATGGAAAGGTTCTTCCCCCAGAGGGTGGTCAGGCACTGGAACAGGTTCACCAGGGAAGTGGCCATGGCCTGACAGAGTTCAAGAAGCTCTTGGACAATGCCCTCAGGCTTACGACGTGATTCTTCGGGTTGTCCTGTGCAAAGCGAAGAGCTGGACTCGATCTTATGGGTTCCTTCCAACTCAGGATATTCTATGATTCTACTGAAGGGCTGCTGCAACTTAACAAGCTCCCTCAGGAGTTTATTAACAGCCTTCCTGTACTACTGGGCCTAATCAGGCACAGCATTCCAAGAGCAGCCTGATACATGCCAAGTAAGGAAGAAGAATCACTACCCTCTATTCACTGGCTACTCTCCTGCTAATACAGCTTCCTGTGCCTCAATGTTAGGGCACAGTGCAGGTGCATGTTTGGCCCACTGGCCATCAAGATCCCCAGGTCCTTCCAGGGTGGTCCCCCAGCCTGTACCACTGCAGGGTCCAGTGTAGGACTTCACACTTGAATTTTCAACTACCTTGGTTGAAGTTTATGAGGTGTCTGATGACACCTTCCTCCAGCCCATAAACATCATGAGGGGGCATCTCACATCCTCTTCCTATGAACAGGACAGGTCCTGGGATAGACCCTTGAGAAACATCACTTGTAACCTGCATCTGAGTAATGTATGAACTACTAACTGTTCTTCTTTGATCCTGATGATTCATCCAAGGATTTTTTTTACTCATTCAGTAGTTTATCACATCTGTAACATCCCAACTCCATGAGAAGAATGCTGCAGGACAGTTTCAAAAGTCCTGCTAAAGCTAATGTAGTTGACATCCAAGGCTTTGGATCTACAGATCTAGACATTTCATCAGCAACAGGGTAACCAGGCAGCCATGTTGGCTATTCAATCACCTTCTTCACGTGCCTGGCAATAGCTTCCCAGAGAACTTGCTCCATGGCTTTCAAAGGGACTGAAGAAAGGCTGACTTAAGCTGTAGCTGACTCCTACAACCTCAAAAATCACAAGAGCAACCTCACAATAACATTAGCCAGCTCTCTCAGAATGTATCCCAAGAAAGTCTTATGGACTTGGTTGGGATGGGTTTTCTCAAGAGATTCCTAACTTGCCACTTTTCCATTGCTCGTTGTTCTTTAAGACACAAAGCCTAGGAGGCATCAGTTCTGAAGAGCTACACAAGAAGGCCAAGTATTGCAGCCTTACCTGTGTCTAGTCTTCCTAAATCACCTGCCCCATTTAGCAGCAGGTTCACCTATTTCCCCCTCCCACCCCTCCCCTCCCCTGCTGTACTGCTGGTGTACAACTGCAGTGTGAGCTGCAGGTTGAGCTCAGGCAGGTGGGAGCTCCAGGCACGAGGCAGTGAACTGCCACCCTTGCATAAGAAAGGGCCTGGGAACCTGTGGTCCTGCCAAGGGACTGGACACTTGGAGACGCGGCAGGGGCTGAGGACTCCAGACAGTGATTCACCCAGACTGTGAGGGTACAAAAGCCCAGGGTTTTCTCTGTTCAGGGGCCCTTGCTTGGAGGCACCAGCTCTAGCTGTTGTTTTGTTGTTGCACCAAGATTAAATTATATTAAGTACGCAGATGTGTGAGACACGCAATGGGAAAGCTGATCTCTGTGAGTGCGGCTGTGAAGGGGCCTCAGTCCCAGCCCAGGTGGTGTGAGAGTGACTCCCAGACTAGCTCCTGGATGGTCAGACAGGGAAGTTTCTTTAACATTGTGACCCTTGGCATTCCTTGCTAGCTTCAACATTACAACTTCGGCTTTCCAAGCTTCATACCTACATGTCCAGACAGTTTTTATCCTTCTTCTTCATGGTCTGTCTTTGCTTTCAACTCCTGTATATGTTCTTTTTGCCCTCCCCACAGCGCAGATGTGTTAAGGGATGGGCACAGCCACATTTACTTGCCATGAGGATCAGGATGGAATGTCTCTGTCCTTACTGACCTCCACCTGTTCAGCTCTTCCAACTTTGAAAGTTGCCTCCCCTAAAATCTCAACTACCTGTTGCCTGAATAAGTTTAAGTCCTGAAGCCTTAAAAAGACAGAATCCATGTTCTTTACTCTGTTACTAGCCTTCCTCACTACATTCAAGGTCTTGAACTCCACCGTTAAGTAAACTTCCCAGTCACACTCCCAACACCAGAGACTTTCACTGCTGGGACCAAAGCCTCTTCACAGTGGGTGGCTCCAGTGAACCAATGGGAGCCACACTTGACTCCCTACACACCCCACTCACACAGTCAGACCAGGTTTCCCTACTGTTTTGACAGCAGGTTTCCCTTAGCAAAGTCTCAGACGTCTCATTCCATAAAGCAATTTATTCACAGCGCAGTAACACAGAAACAGCCCAAGCTGTTGCCTTCAAGGAGGGACCTCCAACAAAAAAACCTCTGAACTTTTATACCCTGACAGCCTACCTGCACCCAGGTCTTGCTATTCCTCCTGAGTCCTCTGCTCCCGCCCGTCCCTCCCAGTGTCCATCCACCTCACTGGCTCCACCCATCTTTGTGCCCTCTTGTTATCCAAAGGTTGTGTTTGTTGTGTCTCTGTGTCCACTTGGCCAACACCACTCATCTTCATGCCCTTTGTTATCCAAAGGGTTGGGCAGTTCATGGCTTCATGTCTCTCTTGGCTCCCACTCAAAGCTCAATTTGCAGCTTGGAAACCGAGCCACCTGAACCAGATGTATTCCTCAACATCCACTATTCCATGGTGGGTTGTAGTGGGTTGACCCTGGCTGGATGTCAGCCACCCACCAAGGTCACTTTATCACTCCCCTTCTCAGCTGGATGGGAAAGACAGAATATAACAAAGGCTCACGAGTTAAGGACTGGGAGAGATCACTCACCAAATACCATCACAGGCAAAACAGATTCAAACTGGGGATATTAACTGAATTTATTACTAACAAAGTCAGAGCAGGATAATGAGAGTTAAAATAAATCTTAAAACACCTTCCCATCAACCCTCCCTCCTTCCCACCAGCAGCTCAGGGAGACGGGGAATGGGGGTTATGGTCAGTTCATCACAAGTTGTTTCTGCTGCTGTTTAGAGAGAGGACTCCTTTCCCTGCTCCAGCATGGGATCCCTCCCACAGGAGACAGTTCTCCATGAACTTCTCCAGTGTGAGTCCATCTTATGGGCAACAGTTCTCCATGATCTGCTGAGATATGGGTCACTCTTCCATGGGGCGCAGTCCTTCAGGCACAGCCTGCTCCAATGTGGGTCCCCCAAGTCCTGCAAGGAAACCTGCTTTAGCGTGGGCTCCTCTCTCCACAGGTCAGGTCAAGTCCTGTCAGGACCCTGCTCCAGCATAGGTTTCCCACAGGTTCACAGCCCTCTCTTTGGCATCCACATGCTCCAGTGTGGGTCTCCTCCACAGGCTGCAGGTGGATCTCTGCATCCCCATTGACCTCCATAGGCTACAGGGGACCATCCTGCTTCACCATGGGCTGCAGGGGAACCTCAGCTCTGTCATCTGGAGTACCTCCTCCCTCTCCTTCTCCACTGATCTTGGCGTCTGCAGACTTGTTCCTCTCACATATTCTCACTCTGCTCTTCTCTGGCTGCGATTCCATCTGTGCAAGAACTTATCTTTTTTGTTCTTAAATGTGTTAATTACAGAGGCATTACCACCATTTCTGATTGATCAGCCTTGGCCAGAAGCATGTCTCTCTTGCAGCTGCCTGGTTCTATTGGACATGGAAGAAGCTTCTAGCAGCTTCTCAGAGAAGCCAGCTCTGTAACCCCACACACATCCCTGGCTCCCACTACTAAAACCTCGCCATGCAAACCCAATACACACAGTCACTACAGCCAAGGCTGTTAATAATTAGCACATTCTTGACTTCCCTGTTTACAAAAAGCCAATTCAGGAAAGCATCACCCCTGGTTGACTCATCTCAACACCTAGACAGAGAAGCTGTGCCCAACACTCTTTGTTTTTAACGACCATGATTTCCAACGATAAGAAATTTTCAATTACCAGTACAAAAACTCACCTAAACTCTTTCATGGCTATGAGAAAATACTACCAAGTACCATTTAGTCCAACTGTAAAGAGTAATTAAAAGAAATATAACAAATTTTAAGAAGTTTCACAAAAGTAGGCCTGGTTTTTTGTTAGCTACCTCATAGCATTACTAAAAGTTGTGGTGGCAGCTGTATATAAGATTGCCTCGACAACATAAATGTTCAGAGAAGAACAGAATACAGTCGTAGTCCATTTTTCTCAAACTCAGCTACAAAATATCTAGCTCGATTAAGAGGCTATAGGCAACACAAGTAAGAAAACCCATCCCTGTACACTCTAGCCCCTTTCCCTAGCAGCCTGCTAGGGAAGCATCGAGGGAATGCCACGAGCGAGGGGAAGCATCGCATGGCTCCTTTCGGGTACCACGCTGCCCGGGCCCGCCGCACCCTTCCCGCTCAGGGGATGCAGGACTGGCTTTCGGCCGCCTCCTCACCACCTCCCGCGGCAGGAGCGCGGCTGCAGCGCCGTGTCCCGCCCTCTCCCCATCCCCAAGCAGCGCCTCCCTGTGCCGCCCGCCATGTACCTCACTCACACGCAGCGTGTCCGGCTGCAGCGGCCTCAGGCGTTCCCACTTATCGCGGCTAGCCATGTCCGCCCGGCCCCTCCTCCTCCTCCTCGCCCCGGTCGGCCCCGAGGCGCCGGGGGAGGGAGGGCGCTCGGTCGCCCTCACGGGAAGGCTCCGAGCCCCGGCCGGGCCGGGAGCGCCGCGGGGCCGCTCCCGCGCTCAGCGCAGCCCGTCATGGCCGCCGCCTCCCGCCCCCCATTACCCATCGGCCCCCGCGGTGCGCGCGCTCGGCAGTGTCCACCGCTTTCCCGCCCTGCCCAGCTCGTCCCGGCTTTTCCCGCCCCCGTCGGGGCATCCCCCCAGTCCCGCCGAACGTCGGGAGGGAATGCACTAAATCAGTGCCTTCCCTCCCCTTCTCGTCACCGTCCCTGAGCGGCGGAGAAAAGGGTCTGCTCGCTCCCGCTTCCTCCTCGCCTGTGCGGGCAGCGGGAGCGCCAGTGTAGGCTCAGGGGGAGGATCACGGAGTATGCTGATTTTGGAAGGGACTCACAAGGAGCATCGAGTCCAACTCCTGGCCCTGCATAGAACACTCCAGTAATCACACTGTGTGTCTGAGAGTATAATCCAAGCACTTCTTGAACTCTTGTCAGACTTGGTGCTGTGACCACTTCCAAGGGGAGCCTGTTCCAGTGCCCAGCCACCCTCTGGGTGAAGAACCGTTTTCTAATATCCAACCTAAACCTCCCCTGACACAAGTTCAGGCCATTCCCTTGGGTCCTGTCACTGGTCACTAGAGAGAAGAGATCAGTGCCTGTGCCTCCTCATCCCCTCATGAGGAAGCTGTAACTGCAACAAGGTCTCCCCTCAGTCTCCTCCAGGCTGAACAGAGAAGTGACCTCAGCTGCTCCTTATACAACTCCCCCTCAAAAGAGAGGAGGTCTTCACCATTTTGGTTATTTCAAGGAGGGAGATTTTTCTTCCTTCAGTGTACAGCAGTTATGACCCACCCCAGGAAAAAGGGGGGGGGGGGGTGTAACCCAGGTTCTTATCAATAATTCCCTTGGGGTGGATTAGAGCGTAACGACACTGAATAATTGGTGTTTGAAAACATATATAGGTAGGGTTTATTTTAAACGCATATAGGTAGGGTTCATTTTAACAATTTTGTTTGAAGAGGTATGTTAGCATTTTGGCTGTTGTCATCTATGTCATCTATCATAGGGATAACCCCTGGGGGGAAAATGCATAAGGGAGAGAAAGGAAAGACAAGATAAGGGAGAGTAAGGGAAAGAAAAGCTGAGAGTGGAAAGATATATATATATATAGTCACCACCCACGGGGTCCAGCGATGAAACTTGGTAGTTGCAGCTTCCATGTCTGTCAGTTGAAGTGGGGGCCTTGATCTGTTGGGGGTAAAGGGGGGAAGCTCCACACTCAAAGAAGTTATGAGTTACTATATCCATGGTTAGTGTCACAGGCCATGCCACGAGCCTCCAACATCTCCCGGGTCTGTGCTGAGTTCCCTTGAGGGGCCTGGCCAAAGGGTTTTTCCTGCCTTTCAATATTGGGGGGGGGGGGGGGGGATGGGCCATCAGAGGTGTAATGCAAAAGTCCTGCAGAAGCCTGAAAAAGTCCCTTGGCAATCCTAGAATGCATAAATCATTAACCTTTTTAGTCTCTGACAAGCATAAGCAAGGAGAGAGCACCCTGCTGTGCAAATATGTCTGAGAATAATTAGTATTGCTTTCTTGCCAAATAATCTGTTTCTGTCGTGACTTCCTAGTACAAGGCAGCCAAAGCTGCGTGTGTCACTCACGGGGAAGACAAAGATAGAATGCCCATGTCAAGAATGAGAGGCTCATTGGTGAAGGGCAAGATATGTTCCTCTTGGGCCAGACACAAGCGAATGTGGCTTGTCCAAACTCAGCCTGTCCATTTACCTCCTATCAACATCCTTTCCTCAGTGCTCCTGCCCTTTCCTCCACACTCATAACCTTTTTCAAGCACTGACTGACACTTTGCTGATTTGCCAACATCAGCAGTAATATAAAAATTTCCAAGTAGGTAACTTCTGTTCGTCGGACAAAAGCATTTCTTTTAAAAACAGCTCCTTGTTAAATAGCCCATCTGTTGCTTGGTTGCTCTTTATGGCAATTAACTCTCCTCTAAAACAGGTAAGTCTGTCATGGAGTCCTTTTGCTTAAAGAATTTATGAACTGTTCCACTTCCCCATCTACACTTCAAGTAAAATTTCCAGTCACTTCCCCTCCCCAATTTCATCGGGCATTGTGTAAAACTGCCAGTCTGGTATGAAGAATTCAAAGCCATGAAGAACTTTGTTCATATTCTCACAGACCAGACTGAACAGGTCAAATAACACTCTGATATTTGAAAAAATACTGAATTAATTTTTATTTACCAGCCTTTCCATTTAGACAATCCTTTGGAGTAGTTTATGGTATCACCAATGATAGATCAGATGCCTTGATAGAGGGTGGAGTTTTCTTCATAGCAACCAATTTTCAATCAAGTACTTGCTTGGTAATAATTGCCCTTGTAGAGAACTGTTGAACTAAGGTGACTTGTTCTGGTATTCTAATGAATTAATAAGAGTAAAAAGGGGAAAAATATGTTACAACTCCTCAAAGGCATGACATCTGTGCTTTAGGAGACATGAAGTCTGGAGCTGTGGATTTCAAGACGTCATGCAAATGCTGATTGTCAGTATTGCGAGGCGAAGTTAGACTGCTGCAGAAACAGAAGGTTTTCCTGTCATGGAAGGGACACATGATTACACTGAAATGTAAAAATGCTCATTTTTGTATGGGCAACATAATCCAATTGCTAACTACTCTGTAGTGATAAACTTAGTCCCATAAGGAATGAGTATTTCTCCCTCTTTGTTATACTCTGGAAGATGAATGTTATCATTGCAACTACAGATTGTATAAACCCACTGTGATAAAGCAGTTTTTTTCCAGCTGGAACAGCAAAATGGTTTGGAGTAGATGTCTTAGGCCACTTTAGTTTGAGGTGATGTAAGGAATACGTCATGCAGTGTGAAAGTCATTGAATAGGATTTGGTGACTGTTGGCTGGTCAGATATTAAGAGGGAGGCTAACGACTCATAATCTGAGGATTAGGATACATGAATTCCTGTATTAACCCATGTGGAAAACATTGCATCAACATTTAGCTATGCTGTTGTTCTAGCCAGTCATAAGATCAAATCCTGTTGTTCCTGTGCTTCTCTGTCCTTGCCTGCTGACGTATCTAATGGAGCAAAGAAGAGCCCCACATGGATTCAGAGTCAGGAAGAGCTTTCTGTATTTACATGAAAATTAAGAAGCCTAATTATTCTTTTAAATGAAAATTAGATTTTGATGTAACTCACTTGACTATCAGAGTTTTTGTTGTGGCATTCTACAGATCAAAGAGTTTGATTCTAATGTGTTATTATTTACATTTTATAAAGATGACACATTCTTTATTACTCCTTTAGATGAAAATGAAAATTATACCCCATTTAATGTTATTTTAATGCATATGAAAATGGTTGTGCATTCTTTTTAATACCTCCAGACATTAGTCACATAAGACATGAAACTTAAAATGAAAGATTTGCACATTGATTCTTAATGTGCCACCAGGGGGCAATAATTCCATTTCCTAAATCTGATCTTTTACCATCAAAACCTGCCAGAACAGTGGGTTCAGTAACATTTTTGAGGGACTATATGTGAAAATCAAAACATAACTTTCTTAAAAATACTTCCCTTGTGTAATTTAATATTTTACCCTGCACTACTTAGGTATGTAGGTTTTACTTTTATTTTGAGCAGCTAAAATTAAACTACTTTGTAAAAGCTTTTAGCAGTGAACCTCATGCTGCGCTATGATGGTGCAAGGTTTGGATTTCATTCAATATAGGATATTTTGTTGTTTTTATATTTCCATCGTAAGATTAAAAAAATTGTTTTGAGTGCCACTACTTTCCTATCTTTTTTTTTGTTACACTAATATCTTATTAATATTTATTAGCCTATATATGTGATCCTAAATTTGGGAATTATATCTCCTGACAGGTACCTCTATATCCTTATATGATATATATTTTTTCTTTATGTACATAGTAATTCCAACATACTACAGTCAAAGCCAAAATTGCCCTCTGCCTATCGGAGGGCAATACTGTATCAAATGCAATCTTCCCTTTCACAATTGTAACTGGATCTCCCATTATGTGCATATATATTGTTGAAAAGATGAGTCAGAGGAAATATCTTCCTGTGAAGGTACAAAAGTACAAAATCATGAAAGACAGCAATAGCTGTAAGTATCTGTTTAAACTTCAAGGAATTACAGAATCATCCATATTTTTGTATATTAGTATGTCTGTCTGTATAAATTTCTAAGCCTCCCTAAGGTCCTCACCACTGCATAACGATTAGACATAAAGGTATAAATTTTTATGCTCTAAAATGTAATGACTTAAATCTGTTTCTGGCAATAGTAGAGTCTTTCTTGATGTGCTTAGCTTAACTTGACTGAAAAAAATTTCCTGTATACTTGGCAAATAGTCATCCATTAATTTAAGAAGGCAGATCTCTTACTTCTTCACTTTGTTGTATGTATGAGGAAGTATGAGGAAGATCAAGTCAGCTAATCAGATCTGAACAGCGCAGTGCTAAACAACATTCTTTTTTGTCATGTCTTGAATAGCACTTAGAAGTCATGGATGTGGTATCATGTTGTATACATAGGGTTTAGCTCATGATACAAACTGAAGCTCTTACTTTTTGTACCTGTAATTCAGAAAAGAAGGTATATAGATGGAAAAAGTACCCTTAAGGTGACATTAAAGGCAATGTAACTAGCAAGTGCTTGCTGCATATGAACACTGGTGTGTCTTATTAAAAAGGTTCAGTGAATATTGTGTTCTTAATAAGGTTTGGAAATTTGGCAGCAAGCCATCTGCCAGAGCCTAAGGATTCTAGACAAAGGTCTTAACAGAGCCTGCTGGAGGTTTTCATCCATGCTAAGGAGTTTGGAAACAGAAGAAGATTCCTGTTGCATAAGGGCATTATTATATTTGGTGTTTGTATCTTTTGAGTTGCAGAGGAGGTGCAAAATTCCCTGTTGTATTTAATTTTGTCAGCTTTAAATGTATGAAAAAGTTGAAGTATGTTCTCATGAGATG